TGTGCTGAGCTACCAGTGTGAATTTCATGTGTGTGGGACAATCTTTAAGTTAAAAACAAGGGGGATGCATTTTTTGGCAGGTCCTTGCCAAAAATTCCATCCCCTGCTATCTCAGAGGAGTTGACACTTGTACATCTGTATTCCTGTATATTCATCAGTAATTAAGTACAAGGATCAGCAAATGCAAATACTGCCCTGTAAAACAATGACAGTGCAATTGTTGCTTCATATGATCTGAAGCCCCATTTGGAGCTTTTAAACAGGATTTTGAAAAACTTTGATAAATTGCTGCTGTAATATTATAGATTTTTTAGAATAAAAAGCTAGCAGATGTGCATAAACAAACAAAAAAAATACAATACAGTTCAGTAAAAATACAGTTCTGTTTTATGCCTCATTCTTGTAAGTTTAAAATGTTCCAATGCTCCTGAATGCACCATAGCTGAATGACGCGCAGCGAACGCATCTCACTGGTCTGTGAACGCTGTGCTTTGTAGGTGCGCGTTTGATTTTCCACTTAAGAGAAAGCTTTGCAAACTCAAAACTCACTTCGGCTATCACGGTTTAGTGTTGTGTGCAAATAGCAAGAGACCACAACAAATAAATCAGCCGTACCATGGTCAAAATCTTTGGATTTAATGTTGTTCAAAAAAATCCGTACTTTTGTAAATTAATCTGCGAAATAACCACAAGTTTTTTTTCCCACGAGAGGTATTTTTAAACGTTTTTATATCGTTAATATAAGAACCTAAGCTCCATTGAACATATTTTAATCCTTTTTCCTCGTCGATATGCAGTTCAACAGAGCGAGGCGCGCTCCCGCGACTGGGGATGCATATTTCGGCAGGCATGCACTTTTGGGCATAACACCGGTCCGGCCAAGTCAAGATCCGCAATTGCAATCGCACCAAACAGGAAAAAGAACATCGACAAATTCCGGTTCGTCAAATTAAAATATAGTAGCAACAGATTGGTGACTTTGCGTGGAACTGTTTATAAAGCCGTATGTTCGGAAAGGAAGCTCGAGGCGGAGAAAAAGCTAGATAATATATATACGTATATATATGTGTGTGTGTGTTTACATACAGGAGTCATGGAACCCTGCTTACAGCTCCTTCATATTTCATGTACACTAATAACTTGTGTAGGCCTACATGGTTCTGGTTGATGGCATTAAATCATTTCTAATAGCATTAAAATAGCATTAAATTAGAGTCACTCACTCCTGTATGAACCCTGTGAGCGCTTAATTTAATATGGCATATTAAAAAAATCCCACCATCATCCAGCATATGTTCAGTTTCTGCCCAAATATATAAATATATATTTGTAGATTTTTGTAACAGAGATAAGGATAATTCAAAACTGCTTTTTTTAATGAACTTGTTCTCTACAACTCAGCATCTCTTTTCATTCCTGTAATACGAAGTTTCTTTTGAATGGATTTGATTAAACTTTAAGTCCCTCGGTATAAAATAAATATTTTAATGGAGATGAGAAATCTGCTTCCTGGTTGGTGAATTTTTTTTTTTTTTTTATATATTTATATATATTTATAGATATTTTTTAGATAATATCTGACGAAATTGTTTTTAGAAGCATTTTTATTAAAGAATCATAAATGCAACGATAAAACATATTTAATTAATTTTAGTGCCAATTAAGGCCTTGATTAAAAAAAGAATTATGAATTGTAATTATTTTTAATGATCCGCGGAAACCCTGGTTCATCTGGCGCATGCCCTCTATGATCTCCAAGGAACTCAGAGCGGAGGGGACGGAGCAACAGCGGCGGCTGTAGGCTTTGCTTTGTGCAGGCGGTCTGGAGCGCAGCGGGGCGGAGCGGAGCGGAGCGCAGACGGAGTATGTGGGATTTCAGGGTTAGTGCATCAGCGCCATCTGCTGGAATGAATCAGACACACACTTAACACCAAATAATAATAATAATAATAATAATAATAATAATAATAATAATAATAATAATAATAATAATAATAATAATAATAATAATAATAACAATAATAATAACGATAATGATAATAATAAAAGTAATAACAATAATAACAATAATACAAATATAATAATTGAACTATATCGATGTCAGATTGGAGAAATTTACGTCTGCATTTAACCCATCACCTTGGGGAGCAGTGGGCGGCCATCGTGGGGCACCCAGGGAGCAATCGGGGGTTAAGGGTCTTGCTCAGAGACCTGAGTTTTAGTCTGTGGGAGTGGGGCTCGAACTCAGACCCTCTGGATTTCAAGTTCTATGCCAAGCGGTCATCGATTAAAAATGAGTGGGATCCAAATAAAGAAAATCATCAATCAGTAAAGATCCGGAGACATTTTTAACTATAATCTGTCACTTTAAACAGAATTTAACACTGAAATAAAATCAGGTTTTTATGCATCCATGTTATACATTGAATAAAAAAAATAGAACATTTTTCCATTTTAAAATCGAAAGCGTTTTTAAAAGTAGAGAACAACAATCGTTCACTTTGGTATATGGACAATTTCCTGACTCACATTTTTTATAAAACCCTTAAACTGACTGTTTGCTATTTATTTTTTATGGCCTAATGAGAGCAGTGGGCTTTAGGCTGCCCTGCAAGGCTTTAAACCCGTGTCTGAATGGAGACAAAGCCATTCTCAAGCCATTCCAGGTTCATTCGTGAGCTTTTATACCCATTCCCCAAAACTAAGACTGTTTAATTAAATGATTGGATGCAAACTATTGGTACTTCAACATACCAGGAAGCAGATTTCTCATCTTGATCAAAATATTTATTTTATACTAAGAGGCGTAAAAGTTTAATCAAATCCAGTCAAAATGCCATGGAGCGCCTCTCACAACTTCAAAAGAAACGTCTCATCTCAGGCCTGGATAAAGAGATGCTGGGTTTGGAAGCAGAAAACAAACATAGGTCATGCAAACCATGTATGATCCGATTGATCCCTGATACAAAAAGCCACAACAAAACGGAAATATTTGGGCAGAAACTGAACATATGCTGGCTGGATGATATCGGGGATTTTTTTAACATGTCATATTAAATTAAGCATTCATTTCCGCATGTTTTGCTCCTGAATTTAATAACAAAGTCGCGCATGCTCTCCCTGAGCACAGAGGAAGTCTGAGTGGAGCAAGACGGGAGGAACAGCGGAGGCTGTAGGCTTTGCAGAGGATGTGGGATTTCAGGGTCAATATGTAATCAGACAACATACAGTAATTTATAAATGTTTTAAATCAGGTTTTGGTCAGCAGGTAGGTCCTGATCCTGACAGTGATCCGCTAATCAGTGACCTCTGTTCCATGTCCTGACCACTAGGCCTCCACTCCCCCGTATTAATGTTGCCCTTTTCTTATTTGTATTGACTGCAGGCTCGGACTGGTAATCTGTGATATCGGGCATTTGCCTGGTGGGCCGGTCCTAATTTCATACCAGCCCCAACACTTATTCTATGGACGAAGCACCTACCTGTGACAATAAGTAACTCAAGGAGCTCAAGAAGAAATTAAAAGTCAACTACCAAAATGATGCATGCAGTATATTTAGCCCTTCCTTGTCATGCACATCCTTGTGACGGTTGGTATATAGTGTAATTTTCTATTTCTTCAAACTGTAAACTAAAAGCTTTCTTTGATCCAAACTACGATGTTCCTCTCATATTTGGCAAATTTATGTTGGAATATTTTGCAAAAATATGTTGCGGTGCATGATGGGGTTTTGCATCGGTTTACATTATTCCATATCATTGCACACATGTCACCTAGACTTGCAGTGAATGCTTACACACCGCTGAGCTTTCATGGATTCATTCTTGAAGAACTGCCTGTCTGCTTATATATTGTACTGTTTTATGTTAGTGTTTTTACAACACTCAGGCTTACGTTGTAGACCTAGTATGTGTTAGTGAGTGTCCGGCTGGCTTTGTCCAAATGTGGACGTTACGCAGCAGCAGTTACTGTTGTGTACTGTGTTAATAACCAAAGCCAGTAAAACCGCATTATAGAAGTCTTGGTGATGGTTGTCGTGTGATGCTTGAAGATAGATTGGTTAATCCGCAATGTGTATTCGCGTTGTGTTTCACATTTGAGATCATTTGGAAACTGATGTAAATGGAAACATGCCAGTGCTGAAAATTGTTCACAGTCTGAGCCTGACAATGTAAATAATATTTTTATTTCGAATCACTCCCTTCTATTAGAAAGAGGAGCCTCCACTCATGTTTCAAACTCAAAAGGTGAATAATCCTGGTCCAGAAAATAAAACCCTGCTAGTTCTCCTTCATCCTGCCCACTTAACCAGGAGTTGGACCTCAGTTTATTTGGAGGAGCAGGAAATGTAAATGTTGGGAACTAATATCAGTACAGGCTTTTTACATTTTGGACTATCCAATTCTCCATACGACAGGTTACCTCTCCTAAAACCCCTTTGGCATTTTGTTTAACATCCTTTATTCTCTAGAAAATAGGTTGATCATTATTTATCATTCTTTCTATAACCAAAGATATATGAATTAATGAGAGCTACAGCTTTAAAGCTCCCTAGAGTTAAAGGATCTTTCCCTTGTTTCAGATCCTCAGATCAGAAAATTCCAGAATTGTTTTAGATGTTTTAATCTAATCTTTATTCAGCAGAGCAGATATTTTACTAGTTGCACAATAACTGCTTTTTAATCAATATTTTATTGTTTTATTTCACTAGTTGTAAAATTTCGAGATTCTGTATTTTCTTTAATCTATTTTAATCCTGAGTCTAACCAGGGACAAGAGCTGCAAATTATTTTTTATTTTAAACCTGTTCACATAGGATCTACTATTTTTATTAAACAAATTTTTAATGCATTTTTAGCATTTAAATAAAAAAAAAAAATCATTCATAGTGAAGCAAGGGTTGTACCAATGTTAGCTAAAAAGGTTGCTCTTTGATATAGGAGCCATACTCCAAAGCCACGTTACAATTTGTAAATGCATTAAAGGACAAAGGCAATAATGTTGATCCAACCTCATCTGGTTTATTGCACCACTGAACATTTGTCCAACATACAATTTCATATGCAAAAGCTTTAATCACAGATTTTAACACAAAAAAGTTTGTCCATGGCTGTATTATAAATACGTGTTAAAAAGTGCTCCTTTGGCCAAAGTGCAATCCATAAAGTTATAGTATAGTGGCATCAAAAATAAAAACAACATTGCAACAAAAACATGATAAAACATAGTAAACATCAAAAAAGTGAAATCAAATGCTGGAATAAAAGTCATTAAATTAAGATTTCAATTAGAACGATATGTAAAAAAATCCTAAAAAAACAACTTGTGGATTAACACAAAACATGGAAGAGACAAAAAGAAACAAACATTAGATTCAAACACCCATGAATGTGGAAAAGGGTGCAATGATGTTAGACGAGTACGCTAGAGTATATTGCAGGCTGGTATTGATAATACTATTCTGATAATTTGAGTCAATACCCCTAATGAGTAGCAGCAACAGAACCAGAAACGGACCTCTCCTCTTTTGTCCACAACATAGATTCAGAGTATTCTGTTCTGTGGTTTTACTAGAGGTGTTTCACAACACTGTGTTGCCCTAACTTCTTTTTTCTACAGACATCATAGGTCACATCTATGGTCTGTGGTGCAAAAATATCAATAACCTTTGTCAATAAACTTCATTCCAGTGTCTACATCTGAGTGAAAGTGACCGAGCAGTGGCATTTTGGACAGACACATTAAACACTCACCAGATGGAAGGAAAAAATATCTTAATCGAAAGTATTAGGATTCGATTTTCCAGCCTAAAGTGCTTTATTATTTAAGAGTCTACTGAATTAGAGCCATTTAAAAAAACTCAAACCTCTGTGTGTGAAGTTTTAGTATCATGAAGAGCTTTAAAATCTGAATCATTTTAAGGAACATGTCTGCATTTAACAAGTAATGGCACTGCATAAAAACAAGGTTTTCAAAATTATTGAGAGGGAAGGAAAATTCTAAATAGACCCATTTTTGTCCCCAGCTGCCTTAAAAGTTCACTGTACATATTTATTTATCAAATATTTAAGTTACATAAAAAGGCTGCAATAGTTTGCGGACAATCAGAGTGGCATTCTGTTATTGAGGGCAGAAGGAGGTAACCCTGAGAGAATCCTATTTACTGACAAAAAAGCACCCCTAGCAGCAAGAATTAATAAAGTTATGTTTAAACTTGAAGATAATAGAGATCTAAAGTGCAAATCTATGGTTATTAATATATATTATTTCAATCTTAGAAAAATAATGTTACAATTCCAGCACAAATGAAATATCTATGCTTACTTCTTTCTTCCAACTCAGAGCCAAGGAGCTAAGTGCAATGTTTTATCAAAAAGATTTCTTAATAATAAAGTTTTGATTTATTTCAGTCCCATATTTTCAAAGTGAACGTTACGAAGATCAGCCTTGTCTGATCAAGAGGTGATATGACGCAGGGAGTGAAGGCAATCGAGGATTGAGAGCCTATCTTGTTCGGTGCACATGGCTGTGAGGGGAATCGGCTCTGACTTTGTCTCAGATTTGCTGAAGAAGGGGCATTTCTTCATGTGGTCTGATACACTGGGAACATCAAGAAAACCCCAAGAATGCACAGGAGTGACTGAAGGGCTAAATTTCCACACCTGAAACAGTAAAACGGAATGAAGTGAGTTCAATAATGTTGAAAAAAAAAAAAAAAAAAAGTATGATCATAGTGAATTCCGTGGTCTCACCTATAGTATAGTAATTATCAAAGATCTACACAGATATTGTTTTAAACTTACTTTGTTTTTCACCTGCCACCTAAAATCATGCGGACGACCAGGAAAATGTCCTCTCTCCCACTGCAGCTCTACTATCCCCCTAGAAGGGAGAAGACTGGCACACACTTCCCTCATAGTCCTGGACACCAAGGACAACTGGCACAAGCTAAAACTGTCCAGGAATCCAGCTATGTGCCACAGTATCTCAATGGGCAGCCCGCTGAACTGATCTGGTCTGGAGCCTGTCGGAGATGTCAAACTGATGCAAGGCTGGATCACAAATGCTTTGAGCTGCTTATGATAAACCACTCTGGTCCCCCGAGCGGATGGGTACAACCTCTGCTGTGAAAACCTACAGCCGTACATCGCCAGGGGGCAGCGGGACTCTATGCGGTCACGGAAGTTGGGGTGAAAATCGCAATGAATGTTTCTATAATGAGAGGAAAACTGGTCACGACGGAGCGACTGACCACACACGATGGGAGAAGTGCGAGGAATGTTTCTAAAGGTTTGCGTGCCAAAATGAACACGGTAATCAGTGTAGACAGTGTCAGAGATTCCTCTACAGTCCTTGTGTGTTTCTGAACAGGCGAGCAGGGCAGCTGAAACCGAAGAAATCTCTGTTTGAACTTTGTGTTTCAAATCCCATGTATCCACTGCTTTGTCTTCCATGTCAGCTCCAAGTCTGTATTCGGATTGTCCATTTGATAAAGGACTTTGGCCATGGCCCTTATAGGGACAGTTGAGCTGATGCATCGTCTTAGGCTTAAGATTTCCAGGATGAAGCATCACTTCATCATCCAAAACTAAACGCCCAGCCACACCCTGGCTGACATGTACTGGTAATATCATTTGAGGGGTTTTAGGTTCATTTGAAATACTATTCCTGGATTCTGTTTCTCCAATCAGTGGTCCACAGGTTGTGTTTTTATTCAGTGTATCAGTAATTACATCGTTGTTCATAGACATTTTTAAAAGGACATCCCTTTCATACTCGTCATGTAAGTTGCGTTTAGCAGAGTTGGTGCTACTAACAATGTTTAAACCAGCAGCTGAGCTTCTAGCAGTCTCAGCTTTGGCTTTAAATAGCTCATTGAAAGAATTAATTTTACTGACATCTTCCTCTGTTTGGAGTCCTTTGGAAATTGACTGTGAGGAGGAAAACTGTAAGGTTGAATAATGAGTAGAGGGTGCCTTTAAAGCTAATTGTATCGCTTTACGCTCTTTATCAATGACAGGATCTTCGCGAGCTAAATCTGTCATCCCAAGCTCCTCTATTGTCTCAAAGAGTGCCTGACAGTCCTCCAGAGCTATTCCTAGGTATCTATGGTGCCTTATTTCCTCCAACATACTCTCAACATCCCGGTCAGGTCGAGAATCCAAGAGGCAAGCAGAATGTAAGTTCCAGCTCTTTGTGCAAAAGACAACGCCAGCTGGACATACATCCAGGTGTGCAGGGATTTTGTTACGGCTTAGAATAGCCGGGCAGCCGTAGTTGCTATTGGGGCATTGCACCTTCATAAATGGGCAGAGTAGTTGGTGCTCATCAACTTTGCAGGAATGAAATACAGCCCCGCACAACAGGGGACAATTGAAGAAATCACAAGAAAATCCTGGTTCAGGTTTGACGATGCACCTTTGATTGATACAGGAGATGCAGTGAGCATGCTGCTCCATCTTCACAACCAACGGGTAGGAGTGGCTTATCTGGATCCCTTTCTGCAAAAATAAAAATAAAAGTCTAATATGATGTAGATCAAAAGATGTAAGACCTGCAAATATATGAATAATCTGAAGAAAATGAGAGAGATCAAGATTAATAAATGCAAACAGAACAATCATTCATCCGTCGTTTGATTCGATCCGAAAAATTTACTTTTTAACAACAACCACCATGTCCAGAGATTAAGAACTTTCATTTATAAATAAAATATAGTTAAACCTCTTCTCTAAATAGGGTACCTTAAATAAGTTAAGCGCATATTTATAGTAGCTGAGACAATAAAGTTTGTAAAAACATTAATAACCCAAAAGGTTCCACTGTAACACTAGCTCTGCAACAAGTTATTTAGCAACATATTTTAAAACACAATTTGTTAGTGTTCCACTCTTTAGTTTTCGTTTTTTTTCTGTGTTAAAGTTCAGTAGAGATTGAGGGCTGCTAACGGTGGCTAAAAACAGCTAGCTCTGTTGAAGGCTGGATATTTTAAAATAAACCATTTTTTTCTGTCAAACTTTTAAGCAATCTAAGGTTTCCTTACCTCAACTTGTTTTCATTGGGAAAAGCGTGTCACGACGTATTAAAATGTTTCTACATAAACATGACAAACCCGTGTTTACCATGGTTTGTCCCGGAACTGTCCCTTCTTCCTCTTCTTCTTCTTCTTCTTCTTCTTCTTCTTCTTCTTCTTCTTCTTCTTCTTCTTGGTAGAGATTTTCATAGATATCGAGATTTTGTGCTGGTTGGCAGAAAACGAAAAGCGCGCACGACCGCCACCTATCGATATGGAGTGCTGAATTCCTGCTAAACAAATTTCTTAGTTTAAAAAAGGTAACCAAAATCTTTATAATTTTTCTTTCTAAATATTTCTGCATGTTTATGACATTTAGTTTTTCTTGTATATTCTTCTTGTATATATTTCTATTCCATATCTCCCACATTCTAATATAAAAATGTTCAGTTGTTTCTATTTGTCCACAATGTTAGCAACTTCCCGTATTATGTTTATTGATTATATATATTCTATAATGAAGTCCTGTGTGGGCAAACCTTAGTGTTGTTATTCATTTATCCTCCTCCAGTATCATTTTCTCCATTCTTCACTTTCCTAAACTCTTCCTTGGTACTAAATTAAATTACACAATTTAGATTTATCCAATAAAATTATAACATATAAAATAAGCTATTTTGTATGTATATATATATATAAATATATATATATATATATATATATATATATATATATATATATATATATATATATATATATATATATATATATATATATATATATATATATATATATATATATATATATATATATATATATATATATATATATAATTAATAATATTACCCCAAATGTGTAATTTTATTTAATATCAAGTCTATACTAAAGGCATCTAACTAGGCAGATTTTTAAACTAAAATGTAACAACCTGGTTTAAACAGTAGATGTCACCAAAGGACCTAATGTTTATCCTCATGTGAGGAGGATTGTCTGAACAGACCCCTGCTCATTAGAGTTGACAGAAGGGAATGCCACATTTCGAATATAGGGTCACCTACAAAACATTAAGGCCTCCAGGAGCAGGAGGAGCTGACTCATGGGCACATCAACTGCACTGAGCATGCTTGTCATGAAGAGTTTATATAAAACCACCTATTTGAACATTTATATTTGTGATTATGTCACCTTAAAAATATCATATTTAGAAATGCAAATATTACTTTGTCATTCAATATATTTAAGGTCAGCAAAATAAATGAATACTGTAAACTAAATTTTGTGCCACTAAAAGAGGAGAAATGTGATGATGATTGGTAATACCTAACTCAGCTCAGAAACTTTTGGTATAACTACTAAACTTATGGTTGATTCAATTGACAGAAGTCACCAGCACCTTAGATAACAATCTGCAGTTGGTGTATTTATTGATCTCAAAAAAGCTTTTGACATTGGAGCGTTATAGCATCCAGGGAGTTGTACTTCTCTGGATGAAAAGTTATCTAAGCAACAGGCAACAATTTGTGCAAATGGTTAACTGCCAGTCATCGTGCTTGGACGTTGTTTGTGGTGAACCCAGGGGTCAGTACTGGGACCAAAATTATTTAGTTTCTATAATACTTGGATTTGTTTTGTTTGCAGACGATTCTAACATCTTTGTACAGGTGATAATTTGGATCAACTTATGGCTGATATACCCTTGAGTTATGTTGACTTAAGATATGGTTTGATATTAACAAACTATCATTACATTTGGATAAAACCCAGTTTATAATGTTTGGAAACTGCGGAAGTAAAATAAATTCTCGTATCCTTATAGATAATGTGACAGTAGAGAGAACTGAGGAAAATAATTTCTTGGGAGTAATGACAGACAATAAGTTTTACTGGAGACCTCATATAAAACACATTCAAACTAAAATATGGGGTGGGGGGGTGGGGGGGTTATGGCTACAAGGAAAACCTTAACTTAAAATCTTTGAGGATTCAAACCACCATGAAGAGAAAGTGCATTTCAGTCAGTGGTGTGAAGGTCTGTAAAAGAGAGGCAATCTGATGTTTTTAAGGTATACTTTAATGAGAAGGGCATGTAAATGTTGCTGTGGGTTGATTAATGTTTTATTTTTATTTGGGGGGGGGGGGGGGGGGGGGGGGGGGGATAGTACTCTGAGTGCCGATGAACAAGGGTGTAAATATGGACTTTGGCCAGATGTGTTTGTATAGGTATGTATGTTCGTTTACGTGTACGTATGTAGATGAATTTATTCATATATATATATATATATATTTATATATTTCAGAAAACTGTTTTGCTAGCTTTGCAGTTTTCGTTGTGTATCCTCCATTGACATTATTTTCTTACAATTCAGCATTTGCACATTTTCTCATTTAAATGTTTTGCTGACTATCTTCTTCTCCATCTGGCATTAAATAATAAGGAAACTTCATTATTGTAGATCTTTTCTCATGAGTCCATCTGAGGCTGAAGAAATACACATCTCCAGCTACCCAAGGTATTGTGGGCAGCAGTCTGATTGCTTTAAAACAGAGACAGGTTTCTTTGAAACAATTAGTAACTTCAAAGAAAAACCCTGCAGTCATTTTTTCCATTTTATCAAATCAACCTTAAATTGCTAAAATAAAATCCCTTGAAATTGCTGAAAAGAGATAAGCATCTACAATGTTTCTAATAATTACCAGGTGTTTAAGAACTACAATTCCAGATGTTAATTTGCATTAAACTAAGAATTCCCACCTCTTCAAGGGAAGTACAATACAAAACAGTGCAGATATTTATTAGTAATTATGGCTAGTGGGTTTCAAAGGGAAATTAAGACTTTTTGAGACTAATGATAGGGAAAACAAGGAGGCTATTTTTCAAGAAAGAAATTAAATATTTATTTTGACTGTACACATCTGTATACATGAAGATTGCAAGTACAACAAGTATTTGCTGAAACTCAAAGTATTTTGCTGTAAAATGGAAATGCATGTCGGAATGGGAAAATAGTTTAAGAGTAGCAAAAGATTAGAGTATCATACAATGGACCTGTGGCTTGAGAAGTCTCCAAGTAAACCCACGTAAGTACAGTAAATATGATTGATCAGTTTTTAAAAAGGCTGTGAATAAACAGACACTAAAACACTGGGATCAACTCAAAGCATTAATGTAACAAGAATCAATCGGTCAAGATTTATCCAAGACACTTATGTAAAGATTATAATCTAAGGAGGAAGTTATCAAAATTAGATTGTAATACGGATTGTAAATAACAGGGTTTTGTTTTTGTTTGTTTTTTTGAAAAAAGGAAGATATATAGATTCATAAAGTGGATTATATAACATAAAACAGTAAGCACAAATTTATACAAATAGACTTTTCAGGTAGAAAAAACAAACACTTCTACATCGGTTACTGCATAATAAACCTGCAAAATTTAGGTCGCATTGGCTAATTTCTTTATAGCTAAAAGGTAGACTCACTACCAATAGTGCATTGTCTTCGAATCAGTTAAATTCAATTCAATTCAAGCTGATAATAAAAGGCTTATAATGCTTAAATTATTAGCATGCCATGTTGTCAACCCATACAGACTGTATTTCAGGAACAGACTAAGCTCAGCCATAACCCTTTGGCCTGAAGAGTGTCTGCAGCATCCAAATATTCTTTCCTTCTCAAACATGTCACTTTTATTCAGGTTCGGTAGCAGATGATCACTCCTCAAGCCTCAGGCAACAGTGTCACAGAGACTCCTTTAGTTTATTTGTGATTTATACCGCCTGGTGTGAGTTATGACCCGGACCTTCATGTATAGGGCATTGGTCCTCAGGAAGGTGACACTTAAACATCCTAATGGCTCCTTTGCCACTTTGTAGTGAATTATTCTAATACTTTTTACTGGTTTAGATGTTGTTTTTCTTACAGGTTATGAAGATTTATATAGAGGAGAATGTAAATACTGACCAAGATTGTATCCCCTGTCTTATTTTATATCTTATGTTTCAGATATGTGAGAAAATTTTTCAGCAACTTTTATTGACCATAAATATAAGCTGGATCTATATCACACAACAGGGAGCTGAGTGTTCTTCATGGTGCTGAGAATGTATTGCTTGTTATTTCAAGCTATAGATTCCAGCAATGGGGCTGCGCTGTGGAGCCGTTTGAAGCAATACTGCCTTGCAGCGAGAGGAACCTGAGTTTGATTCCTGGCCTTGGGTTCTTTCCTGAATGGAGTTTAAAGATTCTCACATTGAATGTATGGGTTCTCTCTGGGTTTCAAGCTCCCTTCCACAGTCCTAAATTATAATTGTTTGCTTGATCAGTATCTTTAGATTGGCCCAAGTAATGAGTGTGTGTTTTTGGTTGTGCCTCTTAGTGATGCACTGTGATGGATTGGCAACCTGCTTAGGGCGTACCCTGCCTTTCAACAATAGACTGTTGGAGATGTGCTTCAAAAAACCCTGATGGTTAAGCGGTAGAAGATGGATGAATTTGCACAGAAATATGAAGGGCAAACAATGAGAGTTTATAATACATTCCTCATCACTGCATGTTGCTTAACATTATATATATTCCAATGAAAAAAAAAATGTAAATAAAATGTAAAAATGTAATTAAAATGTTATATCTAATACAAACAAACCAAATCAAATTAGATGATAATTAACCTTTTTGGAATTTTATTGAATTCTATAGGAAATGAACTAAAGGCGTGAAAAACTGAAAAAACAAAAAAACAAAAAAAACCTCAGAAATCTTTCACTGTTTAGAAAATATACACTGCTGATGTGTACAAATTAATCTGAAATTGTTTTATTAATATTAATGGCCTATAAAAAAAGTTTTAATGTTACTAAGTTGTTGCAGAGTGGCAGCATTAAAACGAAGAGACCTGTAGAGAAATGTCTTGCAAAGAATACTAATCTTAATTGTTACAACAGATTTTCTAAATGTTGCTTAAGCATCTTCTGTCATGATCTTGGCACTGATTACTGACTTAATTGCTCATTTCATTCACCTTGCTATCTCTGCCCGGTTTCTCATTACTGCTTATCTGAGCCACCTCCTCCTGCCTCTATTTAAGCTGCTTGCTCCCAGTCATCAGTGTCATATTATTCTTGAGCCTTATAGCGTTCTGATTTACTGATCCCGACCCATT